GCCCATTTCTCTTAATACTTTGAATAAAAACATATGGGTTACCCTATCATATACCTTCTCTAGGTCTAAAGTTAGAAGTGCTGCTCCCAGTTTTTTCTTTCTGTATAATACAGCATTTCATCACAAAAGGCTATCAGTGCATCTGTGTCATGTCTTCTCAGTACCGTACATGTTTGATCCTCATGAATAATGAGGCAATACTTCATGTATCCTTACCATTAACATTTTTGTCAGTATCTTGTGATCAGTATTTAATAAGGTGATGGACTGCCAGTTCTTGGGGGGCTCTTTATCTCCCTTTTTAACTATTAAAACCACAGCCTCAGCCATAATATCACCTACCACTAATCCTTTGTCTAAAATCTCTTTACAAACAGCCAATAGATCAGGTCTGATAATATCCCAAGATTTTATATAAAATTCAGTTGGGAGTCTGTTGCCTGGGGTCTTCCTTTTTTTCAAAGTCTTCAAGCCAACTTCCAGCTCCTTCAAAGATATTTCTTGCACCATTTCTTCTGCTTTTTCATCTTCAACTTTCTTTTCTAGTTGTTTTAAAAAAGTCCTCCATCCTCTCTTCCTCTACATCTCTTAATTGGTACAAATCTTCATAAAATCAGCTTGCTGTCTCCAAGTTATCTTTTCTTTCTTCTTTTCTCACTCCACCCTTTCCTATCACTGCCAACATTCCTCTTTTACTGCCCATTATCTGGCTGGAAATATAGGGGGACCATTCCTCATTCCTCTCCATCCATTCCTCCATCTCCTCTTGATCTGTTCCATCTCTTTTACCCTGTTTCCCTTCTTCTACTTTCTTCAGGAATTTTTGAGTTTCCTCTTGTAGCTTTCTATAGTCTCTTCACTTGTCCTCTACTCATTTTTCCCCTTCTTTTTGGAAAAATTCTTTGCTTCTTTTTTCACCATCCCCCACCATTCTTGGCTTGACTTAAAGTCTCCTTTAACCATCTTCCATTCTTTGTATCTCTGGTGGAACCTCCAGCAACATTCTTCCTCTAGTAATACAATAATGTTTAGTTTCCAGATTCCTCATCCTTTGGTAAGGTGGTTGACCAGTGTTAAAACAGATCTTAACATAGAGTGGTTTGAAAAGAACATCTTTCTTTTTTTTTCCACTTTAAATTCTCATGATAAAAAGACAAAGTCTGTTCTTGACTGACACGTTCTCCCTGGATCCATTTTCATAAACACCTTCTTATTTTCCCAGATATTGGTTAATACTTCCTCTTTTAAAATCCTTTTTAAAAGTCTGTCTAACCCTCTGTCTTCTCCACATCCCATTCTATCCCCTTTGTCTAAAATGCAATTAAATTTCTAATGAAGATCTGAGGTCTTCTTCCTACAATACTGATCTTGAGGTGTTTTTTTTTTAAATCCCTTGCATCTTCATTTCTGCTGGGGTGTATATGTTAAAAAGACCTATTACTTCTCCTTCCTCCTTAAATATCAGATGCAGCAGTCTTCCACTTACCAAGTCCTTCGTAATTATTTCTCTCCAAGGGTGCCTAATTAAGATTTTTCCAACTATTTGAGTTGATATAATAAAAGATATTGGATTTACCCAAAGGACCTTGTCTGCCTAATTAAGATTGCCACCCCCACTGAGCAGATTTCTTTGGTCCCAGACCATACAGATGGGCCTTTTTCATTTATTTTCAAAATCCCTTTCATCCAGAATGCCACATTCTTGCAAGCACAGGATGTCTGTCTCTGTTTGTTTAAAAAGGCCTCCATGCTGTCCTACCTCTTCCTCATTAGCATGCTCCTTACATTAATCAATGCTACCATCAGTGTCATTAAAATATTTTATAATGTTGACATCATTCTTTTATGTTTCTTCTTCATTACTCAGGACAGGCAGTATCGACTCTTCTCTACTCTCATCCCTGTTTGTACGTACCAATTTTTTTACCTCTTTAAAATCTAATAACTCCTCTACCGCCCTCCTCTGTTGTTGTTCTAAGGTCTCCTTGGCCCACTTGTGGCTCAACACCAATGATACTAATGGTGAGAAAATCAGTTTTTCTTTGGATATTCCTTCACAAATCTTTGCCTTTTTCATCTCTTTCTTGTTAGTTTTCTTCCTCTTCCCCCAGGCTACCTTGCCCCCTCCTTTCTCTTCCCCTTCTTTCACTGGGTCTTGTTCACTACGTTCTTCACTTGTTTCTTTCTCCTTTTCCTCCTCCTTCTCCTCCATCTATATTTTCCCCCTTCGTATCCTCACTCTGGGAAGCCTCAATTATTTTTTCTTCTGGTTCCACAGTTTCTTCTTTTTCACTCTCTTGAGGTTTCTTGGGGACAACGCCACATTCACTTTGCTTTCCCCTTTCTCTCCCTCTCTTTCTTGCTCTGAACTTCGCCTATCTGCTCCTTTCTTTTCTCAGTTTTTGTGGCTCTTACTGTATTTGCAAAGGACTTTAGACGTGTTTTAAATATGTGTCCTTTCCCCCCACATTTCCATAATGCCTTACAGTCTGCTGATACGTATCTCCTCTCCTTGCATTTTAAACACAGTTTCTATACAGCTCACTGCCAGGTGTCCCTCCTTACTGCACTTGCTGCATCTTGCAGGTTGCAGACCAAAATGGATGATAAACCTTTGGTGTGTTCCCAATGTTATTACTGATGGAACATGCTCTGCAGCACCTTGGCTTCCTACATTTCTTTTCAACACCACCTTCCTCAATAAATTCCACACCCAATACTTATTGCAAAATGTATTTACCCAGTATACTTTGTCAGTTTTGCCCTCCAACCAAATTTCTACATCAAGTGCTATAACTAAATATGAAAACATTATTATTCTATGGTGTTTCATCAGAATGAAACATAAATTGTAAGACCTGTTCATGCTTCCATTCAGGGGTGCCAAGATCCAATGATATCCTTCAGAAGTCTAAAATGTGAATGCCCAAGTACACCTGTTGGTAAAAATGATCAGGCTGTTCAGCTTATCCAGCTTGACCTTCAAAGCTCCAAGAAGTATATCCTCCATGAAGCCATATCTCAACATTTCTAGCCTCTTTCCTTCAGTCCCTTCCACCGCCAAAGTCACCTTAACCAGTAGGACCTTCCCTCCTTCATTTTCCTAGACTCCCTAATTCCTTCTGCTTTTGTCCACTCACTACTAACCAGCATCCACTGTCCCACCATCTTAATATTATCTAATTCTTTTGTCTCCCTTTCTCATTCTCCACCACTTGCCTTTCTCTGGACATCTACCATAGTCCCCTTACTCGCTGCGTATTCTTGTCCTTCTTTTGCTTTTGCTGATCTCTGCTGCTGTTTGCTTACTGTTTCCCATTTGTCACTCATTGCCACATCTTTGTCTACCACTGTAGTCTGTCTGCTGCTGCCTGGGTCAGTTGCCATGGTATCTGTCTAAAAAGAGTAGAACTTTCATACCCTCTGCTCCTGTCACTACTGCCACTCTGTCGATCCCTCCTTTTCCCTTCAGCTTGGATCAACCTGCACTTGGTCTTCGCCAAAAGGCTGAGAAGCCAGGAAACAGAAAGGCTTACCAAAGCAAACTTTAATCAGAACTATTGGCTGCCCCAGAGACTGTTGCCACAGTTGACACTAAATGGACAAGTTGTTCCTCCAGAGTTCAGGAGGCCCAGACAGAGGCCAGATGGAATCACTAGCTGGGCTAGTAACCAGCATTACTGCACAGTAGTGTCCCATCATGGTTGTCTAGTGATGCTTACTGCACAGTAGCTCATTACTACTGCTCAGTACTAAAGAGCTACTGTGCAGTAAGCATCTCATGTAGACATGGCCACTAAGATTTGCAGTACAATTTTGAAGTTAAAAGGTTAGCAGTGCAGATAAAGTTTGTCACATATATGTAGTTATCTGTGCAACATTTCTTTCTCCTTTTTTCTTTTCTACATGAAACTGGGTGCATCTACACATGTACTTTACTGTGCAGTAGACTAATTTACTGCGTAGTAAAGCATCACTGCATACAAGTGTGCCACAATTAGGGCACAATAGACTAATTTATTCCAGCACAGGATAGTTCCATCAGACAGAGGAACTATTTGGCAGCAGAGTAAATTATGTGCTGAAATACAAATGTAGATGGTGACATCAGGATTAGTTTACTCTGGCTCAAATTGCACCAGAGTTTATTTAGTCACATTAATTGCATACATAGATGCACCCACTGTCATTTTTTTAATCTTACTTTATTAAAGAAAACCCAGTGTCATTTGTTTAATTTCTCTCTCAAGTTTAATAAAGTTAAAATAGATCTTCATCTCCCTAAAATTTATACGTGGAGGAGACATTTTCTTAGGATGTGAGATAATTTTACAAGAAATGAATTCACAGACTGCTAAAAGGAAACAGAATACATACAATTGGAGATTTCTTTTATGAAATAAGGAATCTAATAGTATATTGGGATATCCAAAACTAACATATTAAAAATGGAATATAAAGCAAAACTCAGACTACAAATACAAATTTTATTTTCAGAAAGAAAACATAATTTCATCCTAAGGGAAATGTGTATAGGCTTAAATTTCTAACGTGCTGTTAGCATTGCAAATTAAACTATATGAAAAATTCATTTATTACATAAGATATTTCCAAACTCAAGCCCATCTCTTTCACTGGTGATTTCTAAAAATAACACTTTTAGGAAAATATAATAAAAATAAAAGCAGATATGCTTGATGGATCTTATATGTGTAAAATACTATTCAAAACCAACAAGTAAAACATTCATGATGTATTTTGCTGGCACAGCATTGAATTTTTGCATACTATATATTTCAATAATTTTAAATAATATTTGCTTTCTTAATTTTTTAAAAAGCCTTTTGATATGTCATTTAAAAAATCTTATTAAGGATGTGATTTATCTACTAATTGAATGTAAACATGCCTCCAGCCTATGAGGGGTATAAATAATAATACTTATTTTTGACCGTAGGCTGTTGGGTAACAGATGGTAAAGTCTTGTTCTATCTCTTAAGGTCTGTAAGAAGCACACAAAGACCAGGAGAAAGTTCCAGATAATGCCTGCACCAGCTCCATATGTGGACATGAAAGAAGCCTAGTAAGAGGGCAAGAGGTTGGGTACTGCCTGAAAGAAGCAATTTTGTGGGACTCTGAGCAAAGAAAATTGTTTCCTATTGTTTAATCCCTCCTGTGAAATTGGGATTTTCTGTATTCTTACATGTATTCTTGCATCAAAGAAATATATACTTCCACTCATTAACAGCCTACAAGATATCAAATTATGGCTAGCTGCTCAGAATTACAGTGGTAACAGAATATTTCAAGAGGAAGTCACCTCTCCATAGCAGTGATTTGTAAACTTATATTTATATGTCATTTAGTAGGGTTTTTTCCCACTAGGGGTGGGTGACTGGAGCACCAGATCTGGGTGTTAATTTTTGAAGGGGCACAAAATTGGAGACTACTCTCAATGCTGACCCACCTGCTGTCACTAGCCCAGCCAGTGCCACAGACACCCAGGGGCCAAACCTGCTTGTTATGCCTCTGGTTCTGTTATCACTTTTGAGGTATAGGATTTTGATTTAATTACAATATCTGTGCAATCGAATATTGAATATTTGGCAATATGAAATATTTGACAATGCTAAACATAATATGGATTTCCATACAATATGGAACGCCTGTCAGTGGAACACACGGAGTATTTCCTCACATTTTGTGGTGTTTAAATACAATGGATTATGTCCTATTTAGTTCTCACTCTAACAGGGTAGATGTAACAGGGGACTCGGACCCTGTTACTTGGGAGTAAGGGAAGGGAGGAGAGAGAACTGTGGCAAGGAGACAGGAGGCTCCTGCCCCTTTAAGAAGACACAGCAGGCTCAGGTGGCTGCATGGGACCACAGCTGCAGGAGGGCAGGCTGGCCCTTGATTTACAGGGAAAACCCTATACAGGGCTAGGGAAGGCAGGGTACCAAAAGGGGGGTGTTGCTCCAAGAGTGGTGCTAATTAAAAGCTCCTGCATCCCTGCACTAAAAAATGATGGTGGGGCTCCTTGAACTAAAGATCATCGAGTGAGCTTTAGTTTAAAGTACCCTGGCTGCCACCATTTTTCAGCATGGGGATGCTGATACATGTGACGCTGGAGGCTGCTGGAGTGCATTAATTTCCACTCTCCAGCAGACTTGATTAATCAAGTCTGGAATTACAGACTAGTTAGAGCAGGCTTCTTGCACTTGTATATTGGCCCTAAGAGCTGATGGCTTGAGTGAGGCAACAACCCAGAGCTGGGTAGGCTTTTAGTTGGAAATAGTGTTTGGTATTTATTTTGTAATTTAAGCTGTATACTGAAGGACCAGATTGTAGCTATGGGAAAGATCTGGAGGCCCTGGAAGGGTGCCTGGCAGGGCACTCAGCATTAGGCAGCCTAGCCTGGGTCAATGAATTGAGGACTAAGGGCTGGCTCAAAGTGAGAGAGACAGGGGCCAGAGGCACAGAGACATAAGAGAATCAACAGGGCTGAGATCAAGGGAGCTGGGCAGAAATCAGCGGACCAGGGCTGGAAGCCTGCAGCCAGAGGAAAGGGAGGCTAAAGCCAAGAGGGCTGAATTTTCTACAAGGGGCAGAACGATGTTCAGAGTAATATCTGCAAGGCATGGGCATGGCTGTAGGAGTGGAAAGAGGCAACAAATTTAGCCCGTAAAGCAAATAGGACACAAGGAACTGGTACAGAGATAGAAAGCGAGCACCTTAAGCACCAACCTCTGATGGCAGCCTCCCTTCATCAAGTTTTACAACAAAGATGCGGCAGGAAAGAAACCAAGGTGGGAACCTGGGAGGTGAGGGCAAAAGCCAGGCAGGATTGAAGCAACAACTGTGGGGCATTACAGCAACCCCTGGCACCTCAGCCACTCCAGTAAGGTATAGTATAAGTAACCTTTTGATGACATGTTTTTCCTTTAAACTTCAGAAAAGAAGCGTCTTTAATTTGCAGCTCCATACTAAATTCTGGAAAGAAGCAGAATCAGAAATAGGAAATAATTGCATGACTTTTTCTTCGGGTGTTTGTGCAGGACTGAGATGTCTTGCTTTGGATATGTCGTCTCAGCTACTGGTTTTGTGGGTTTTTTTTTCTTCCTATGAGTATAACTGTCAGAGCTTGTTACAGTCTCATAACTGCTATATTTTCAGTGCATTTCCCACTGCGAGAATTTGTCCAAATGAAATAGATTTTTCTCTGTATACTTTCAGCTAGTCTTAATCATAGAAGGTTGTGCCTTGGCTACATTCCCCACTTCCTAGTAAGAAGGGTAGGGGCTCCCTGTTTACTATAATTTTATTACTTTACCATAATTATATTAAAAAGAAAATAGTGTAAGAAGGTGTTCAAACCCTTATGAAAATTGAGGTATGTTGCATCCATTTCTCTTTTCATCCCCATCACTCTGCTGTAGAGTGGGTGCATCTACACATGCAAGTAATGAGAAGCAATAAACTCCAGAACAGTTTAAACTGGAAAACCTATTCCCAGGCACAACATCTACACATGCAACTGGGACAGCAGCTATTCGAGTCAGGGCCAAGCAGTTTATGCCAGGGCCGCTCCTGCTCTGCTCTGCGCCAAGCTCCGGGTGGTAAAGTCAGACAGTGTCAAGACTGGCTGGGGCATGAGGGTGCTGAAAGTGCAGAGCCCTATGGCTAGACAGTAGGTAGGAGTCTGGTCCCCTGCTGCCTAGGCTGACTGGGTACAATTTGTCTGTGGTCAGCATACATGTGCATTTATTTCATAGACATAGATTTCATAGACATTAGGGCTGGAAGGGACCTCGGAAGATCATTGAATCCAGCACCCATTTAATTGCAGTTAATTAGTTTACTGGGGCCTAATATCATTGCACATGTAGATGGTGATGCTTTATTCTAAAGCTAATTAGTTTAGTTTACTCCACAGTAAAGCATACATATAGACATGGCCAGTGAAATCAAGTTGGTTAGGCCTAACTTGCTCTTTAAAAGTTCACGTTGGCATTCAGCAGAAACTTATCATTTTTTCCATTTTTAAATGTGGGCACTATATTTGCCCCTTTCCAGTGTTACATAACTTCACCTACCTTCACAAGCTCTCAAACATAATAGTAATTAGATCTGCAATTATTATTTTAGCCAACCTTGAATTTTAGCTTTCCTTGAATATTCAAAAATTAATCTCATCAGAACCTGATGATTTTGAAAATATCCAGCTTATCTAAATAATCTCCAACCAGTCCTTTCCTTTCTCTAAGGCTGTGATTCCTGGACAGCCACTTTAATTAAACTGCTCCCCGCCACACACCTGAGCATGTGTATAGGCAGTCTTAATGATTATCTACCCCCTTGTCTTTCCTGCTTACTGTTTTTATCCTCTGACAGCTGACCTGACTTTTTTGTGAAGACTGAAGTAAAAAGCATTAACCCTTCATCCTCTTCCATATCATTCAATATTAGCGCCCCCCCAACTCATTGAGAAATCATCTTGCTTCTATCATACTTATAGAATATTGCTTTGTTGCCTTTTGCATACTTTTTTATTAGCTTTGTCTCAATTTATGTTTCAGCTTTCTAACTTTCTTACAACATGCTCATACTATGCAGTTTTGCTGATCCTTAGTAACATGGTCATATTCCCACGTTTTGTAAGATTCTCTTTTAGTCAATGAAGAGATTATTACTTAGTCAAGCAGATCTCTTGGTGCAGTTCCTATGGGTCTACTGTATCAGGATAGCATGCTTCTGTGTCCTTAGACATTATCTTCCTATAGACAATAAACTGTCCTGGACCGCTTTCTCCTTAGGCTTGATTCCGTGGCATTCTGCTTATCAGTTTTCTGAATTTTGTTCAAGTTTGCTTTTGTAAAGCCAAATTATTCTTATCCCACTGTTCTTATTTCTTGAAAAAAAAATATTCAGAACTTTCTAGAATTTACAATCAAAAGCTTAAAGGGACATGTTTAGTTATTAAATGCATCCAACAAACATGCACTTCCACTCTATCCTTTCACCCCTGATATCTTTAATTATACCCATGAGTATAATTACATTTTCTTTTTTGGCAATAATAAACAATAGGATGAAGTTTGTGCCCCAGGATAATTAGAAAATTGTTTGTTTTTATGGATTAATCCTAACATACTCATTCTCTTTATGGTCTTGAAGAAATTATTTTAATAATAAATGCAATTTAAAAAAAAAATGGTTCGGGAGGAACGTAAAAGTTATTACAACTTTCAATGATCAGAGAAGCTCTTTAAAACATCCTTTCAATTTTTAGTTTATTAAGAATTACTTTCTGACATTTCTTTCCCTTGTATGTAGTAATAGAGTATCAAACATTCACCTCTAGGGCTTTTATTAATAAATCTATTTTTTTTTGACAATATATGTAGCTGAATCTGTGAGAACATGTTTTTTCTGCATGTGTCAACAACAATTTCAGAAACTTATACTGAAGAGGTGCTGAACATGGTTTACTTTTATCTGAATTTGTAGCTAATCTGTACTCAATACTAGGATAGGAATAGCTGCTGCTAATAACATTAATAAAGAGTAAATCCTCAGTTGGACATGACAGGCACTTCTTTGAAGCCTGAATGCCAGTCAGCTCAGTCACATTAAGTCAACTGCTAAATGTTTGGACTGTGCAATATTATTTAGTAGCCTCTGTCTAGTTCTATATAGGCAAGAACTGTGATTTAGTGTTTTTGCTAATTTTAGATGGAAAAGAAAAGACTAAATTGCTATATAAATGTAACAATCTTACCCAATAACGGGCACTCTATGGATCAGATTTTTGGTTTACTTTCTGAAAATACATTAAGGGTGCATCTACACAAGATGCTAACTGCACAGTAGTTTAATAACATTGCTCAGTAGCGTGCTGAGCAAAACCCATGCTAATACATTATTGCACAGTGTGTTTGTTGAACAAGCTTTAGTTAAAGCATCCCTGCTACCATTTTGAAGTGCATGGTTGCTGATACACATGACGTTGGAGGCTGCTGGAGTGTGGTAATTACCACACTCCAGCAGAGTTGATTAACTGAGTCTGCTCCAATGCCCTGTGATTACAGCTTCTTCAGCTGATCTTAGGCATTGTATGCCATCAGCCACCCTCCTTCCTCTTCAGG